GCTATCCAGATAGGCTGCTGCCCAAGGTCTTGCTGCGGAAGGCTGAATGCCTGCTGCGTTTGGGGAGGTTACAGGATGCAACAGACACCCTCACTGCAGTGGAGAATAAAATGACTGTAGATGGGATTATGACTAGTCCTATCCACCTTACACTACTGAAAAAGTTAAATCAACTGAAGATTGAAATACATGAGGGGAGGGGCTGTCCAGAACCTTCCCGAGAAGCACATGTTGATATTCAAAGGGAGTCAGAGATCTGGGAAGAGAATGGCAGTATTTCAGGTGCATCTTCATCCTTGAGCTTGAATTTCAATACAGAGAGAGGACGTCACTTGGTGGCCTCCCAGGACATCCTGCCAGGACAGAACCTGTTAAAAGAGAAGGCTTTTGTCAGTGTGCTCTGCCCAGGTGAAGGGGATAGCTTTCTTCTACAGGACAGCAGTGAAACAGTGTGGGATACTCAAGTCACTAATGCAGATCTTTATTGTCACCATTGTCTGAAGCAGCTCTTAGCCTCTGTGCCATGCTGTGGATGCAGTTATGCAAAGTACTGCAGCCAAAACTGTGCAGATGTGGCATGGGAGCAATACCACAGGACAGAGTGCCCCTTGGGAGCACTGCTGCTCATCTTAGGGGTCTTCTGCCATGTTGCCTTAAGGACTGTTCTACTAGCAGGATTTTCAGAGGTTAGCAGGCTGGTGGAATGGTCACATGATGATAGCAATAAGGACCTTTGCAGTGCTGAGACAGGAGATAAACTTCCCAGTGAGGCACTGGATACAAGAGCTGGAACAAAAGGTATCCCTGGTTGTAATGATAATGGCCAGTACCAGAGTTCTTACCAAGCTGTGTTCAACCTTTTGCCACATGTTGAGAAGCATAGTTCTGAACATAAGTTCCTTTGCATGCTGAGTATAGTAGCTATGTGCAAAAAATTGCAAGAAACTGGTCTAGAGGCTGCTGTTCTGAACAGGGGGTCATCTACAATGGGATCAGAACAGAAGACATATGGAAAAACATCTGATGAGCTGTCTCCAGAACTGATGATTATAGCAGAAGCAATGCTGAGGCATGTGTTGCAGCTACAGTGTAATGCACAAGCAGTCACTGTAATGCAGGAGTTAGGTAAGATAAAAAATTTAAGCTCTTCTTTGTTATTCATCTCATTTGTGTGAAGCAGAGAGTTGTAAAAAGCTCCTATTGCAGATGGGAATTAATTGTTTAAAATTTCATGTCCTGTCCCATGTCAGCCTGTTCTTTGGTGTACATGTAGATGGTATTTAGCTATTTTTTGTGTAGTAATATACCAGCTATCTATCTAGTGGTATCTTAATTGCATAATTTGCGTGGGTTACAGAGCATTCATTCTCATCGTAGTGTTTTTTCTCTGTCTTTAGAGTCTGGAGATGGTGCTGTTGTAAACAAGAAGCCTGTGCGCCTGGCGACAGCCTTCTTTCCTGTCCTCAGCCTTCTGAACCATTCGTGCAGCCCCAATATCAGTGTGTCATTTAGTGGGACAGTTGCCACTGTCAGGGCATCCCAACCAATCCCAAGCGGCCAGGAGATTTTCCATTGCTACGGTATGTATTAAGTCTCTGTCTCAAGACACAGATGTCCTTTCTCCCCTCCTTGGCGTGCTTACTGATTGCTAATAATATCATAATTCCCAGTGTAATGCTGCTAGAGTCTTTGTTTATGTGTGAGCCTTGATCAGAGGCATCAAGTCTTTTTTATCTGCTGAACCCAACATGCTTTCAGTCTCCAGTTCTGTGCTATCCAAAAGATGTTGCGTTTTGCCTCAGTTTTAACAAAGATAGATTTTTAGGAACTGTACTTGTTAAGTGCTTTCTACCCTTGCTGTCCTTTTGCAGGGCCTCATCGGTGTAGAATGAGGGTTGCTGAGAGACAACAGCTTCTCAGTCAGTATTTCTTTGAGTGCCGCTGTCAGGCATGCCTTGATGAGTTAGAGTCTGATGTCGAGAGCGTGTCCATGAGAAACTCATTCTGCTGCCCTAGCTGCCAGGCTTCAATGCAGGTAGTTCTTCGATGGTTATGATTGTTTAACTTTATCAGGATGTGTAATGTTTGGGCCTCTGGGAAAGTCAAGATTTAAAGGCCTGAGTTTATGACCTCTGCTGCACAAGCAAAAGCCCCTGCAGAGTAAAAGCAGTATTTCACTGTTCTTAACCAGCTTCCTTGCAGTGTTCTTGCTTTCAATCTTCCAGCATTATAGGGAAAATTCTGCTCTTAACAGGGAGTTAAAATCCCTTTGAACTTGCAGAAGGAATCTGATAATATCATGGCCATGGTTTGTGGGGAGGAAGATATTTAGGAAAGAAAATGGATCCTGGAGTCTAAAGCACAAGATGTTACCTGCAGGGTTTATGTGTGGTCAGAATCATGCTATCTGCAGTTCACAGGATATAAATGGAAAACAAATGTAGCATAGATGATAAGTCAACAGAGTATGTATTTTGTATGAACATTAGTTGTATACTTCTTGACCTTGCTTCAACCTAACCTACGGTGAGCTGAGACTGGCCTGCATAGCAGTCATAGCTATTCCTGGAAGCTTCACCTAAAACCCGAGTAAGTTAGCAGCAGTTTACAAGCAAGCCACCTGGTTTCTCAACTATATTTAGCATCTCTGTAGCATAATATAGAGGTATGGAGATGGTAAGCAAGTTTGAGTTGAATGTGAGCAAGAATGATCACAGGGATGTTTTCACAGGGGGAAGAAATGCTTTGTTGTTCAAACAAAGCTTGCGCGCTCTCAGTCAGCAGAGAGAGATTGTCACGGCGCTTACTGGACCTTCAGCAACAAATGGAGAAAGCATTAGAGCTGCTAAGAGACAGCAAGGCTGGTAAGGCTCAGCTTTCTGCTTTAAGGTCAGCAGCTCTTGGTACGCATCAGGAGGCTAGTTATAGCCATGAGATGGCACTGTTGCTTATGTAGTTGGGATCTGCTGGCATGAAGCCTGATGTCCCTGGGGACTTGAGCTTTATTTTTTTTTTATACCCCTGATCCGGGTGTTAATCTAGGTCACACGTTGTTCCACAGTGACTAAAAGAACTCAGGATAACTTTGGAGTTATGCATTCTTGGGCTTCGCTTTCCTGAAGCGAGTCTGGCCAGCCCTGTGTTAAGAGTAAGCAAGGCTGCAGAGGAAGTAGATGTTGAATCCTAACCAAATCCAGATATAGTTGTGTAAGATGCAGAGATGACTGAGTTTATTACATGACTCATGGCAAGCTGAGGACTGGCCAGCAGGATGAATTTTTCATATTCTGTTTTATAGATGAAGCTATCAGAGTGCTCCTGAAGTGTCAAATGGATGCTAGAAACTTCTTGTCACCAGAGCATTTGCTGATGGGAGAGCTGGAGGACCATCTGGCACAGATCTATGCTACTCTTGGTACAGCATTGTCTTCTCACTCAAAATTGTCTTTAGTTTTCTGAACTGGGGATTTAATTTGGCTAGTGTTTTCCCTGACTAGCCTTTTCACTTTTCTACTACTCCATTTCTCTAGTTTTGACAGCAGAGCTCTCAGAAGGACTGCTTTTGCCAAGATTACATTCTTAGCAGCCAATGACCCATAATGTGATCCCATGTTCTTGTAGTTTCCTTGCCCTGTTTCAGAGAATAGCAGCCTCCCAACAATACTGTAGACACAATTCACCACGTTTTGCATAATGCTGTCAAACTCTTTGTATAACAGTAGCTGTAAAAAATAATTATTAATAGTTCTGTTTGTTTATTTTTCCGTTAGGGAAGTGGCAGGAAGCAGCCAGACACTTGGAGAGGAGTATTCAGCTTGTGGAAATGCATCATGGGCCATCAAGTGTAGAAATGGGTCATGAACTTTTCAAACTGGCACAAATTCTCTTCAATGGGTAAATTTGCTTTCATTCTCTCTCCCATCCCTGCACCTCATGTGTGTCCAACACAGCACTGTGGCCGTTAGTCCTTGGCATGTTGCAGGACCCTGGGCAGTTTGGTCCAGGTACAAAAATTGTCCACTACTCAAGTGCAAGTCAATAGAACCTGACAGGGTTCACTATTGCCTTATGACTCTCTTTGGACCCATTCCTCAGATTTTTATCTGCCTACTCTTTCTATTCCCTGACTCTGTTTATTCCCTGTCCTATTTTATTCTGAGTACTAGTCACCCCTGGTGTTTGCACTTCAATTGAACAATGTTGTTGACATCTTTTCAAATAAGGAAATAAAATCTTGCTCTATTTTGGCCCTCCAGTTCATCTCCTGATTACTGCAAATCTTCTAACAACACATCCCTTTAACTGTCTGAATTTTAGCATGAGCTACAGTGCAGAAGAAGTGGGTACATATACTCAACGATAATGTTTTAACTTTTTATCCACTTCCTTTCCTTATTTATTTTTTTTTTGTCCATCCTCCCTTTGCAGCTGAAACACTTTCTACTTTTCCTGTTGCTGAAGGGTGGTGGAGGGTGGGATTTATAGCCATGAACAGGGTGAGGTTTCTCGGGGGGAAGGTTTGAAGTCTGTGCAACTTCAGGGAGCTGAGTTAATTATTTTGTATACACTTTCCCATTTCAGATTTGCAGTTTCTGAAGCTCTGAGCACAATTCAAAGAGCAGAGGAGATTTTATCAGTACACTGTGGTCCGCAGAGTACTCAGATCCAGGAACTACAAGAGATGAAGACCTGTCTGTTAGAGCTTCCCAGAAGCATCCTTCAGAGGACTTAATTTCCTATCAAAGGAAGATTCAATGTGATCTTTCATCAAAGCTAAGTTTCATGTGGTAAGGTTGTCATGTAGTACAAGCTGGAAAATTGTGTGTAACAATAACTCGAGTGAAACCCAAGATGCTCTTTAGAGATACAATTGTAAATAAAATGACCAGTTCTAACATGAGGGGTCTGCGTGTGGTATAGTGGAAATAGATGCTGCTGTAGGATTTCTGCATGTGGGTGAAGCAAATGCTTGAGATGCTTATGTGTATGTGTGTTTGTAGAGATGTGAACCTCCCGTGTGTGGTATTTTGTTGGTCATGAACATTCAGTCATCCAGACCAAAGTGCATTTTACTTCTAATGATGCACTTCCATTCTTGTCAGCACGAAACATAAATGGTTGGAATGGATGAGGCAGCTGGCTGGGAAGTGCAAACTCATGAGCTGTAAGAGAGGACTCTGCAGAACTTGGAGGGCAACCAGAGCAGATTCAGCAGCGATTAATAACTGGCTTTGGCTTGGTAGATGTGGTAGGGGAAAATGCAGTATTCACTAGAGTAATGTCTGTATATAGGAGAGAACTGCAGTGGGGATCCATCTAGGGAAAATGGAAGTGTGAAGGAATGTGACATAGACAGGACAGTCTTTCAAGGGAGAATACAGGAGCTTGTGGAGAGTAATAGCAAAAGCTCTTTTATTGCAGCATAAAGGCAAAAGATTTGCAAGTTGTGTCTTTGTGCAGCAGAGCAGGGAGCCAGTATCTCTCCCAGCACCATCCTTTCCATTCAAGCACTACCACTGCAGATTACTGTGAAGGGATCTAAACACTTCTGGGATCCAGGATTTTACCAATGAAGAGAAGAGTTCCAGTAGTATCATCTCGCAGCACAAGAAGAAATGGTCTGTCCACATGATACTCTATGGGGAAGGTCAGACGAGCAGCATTCACTCCAGGATTTGGTGTGGATTTTTCCCCATCTTCATTAAGCTCCAAAACTGCCTTGTGTTGCACATGAGATAGCTTAATAGGTTTGGCAGAAATCTTAGTAAAGTCAGGTGATGTGAAAAGTGACTGGAGCCCTGGAGGAAAGAAAGTAAATTCCATTAACTAAAGGCAGGTGGGAAAGCAGTACTGCTAATGCTGTGATCCAGGAGGACATGGCTGTTCAGGCAGAGCTTAATGGGGGTAACAGAGAGAAGCTTACATCTGTTTGTACTGTGCTTCTCTCTCTTAATCTCAGAAACGCTGTATGAGCTTGGTGGAAATATCTGACAAAAAACTGAGGAGTCCTGGACTGAAGTGGTTTAGTTACTGAAATCTGTACAGACTGAGAGTGGCACCAAACTAATAACCCACCAGCATCATATTCCCTTGTGAGCAGGAAGCAATTTGCCTACTGCTTTCAGACCTGACAGTCTGTAGAGAGAATGTGATGTACATACTTGTCTCCTTTAAAGTGTTGCCAAGTGCCTCTTCGTAGTTCAGCTTCAGTTTGGGCAAGCTTAGCACAGCATGCACTGTCTTCAGCTCCCTGTCTACATCATGAACAAACTCAGAAGTGAGGCTTTCCTCAATCAGAGTCATATTCTGGGTCACCTTCGTAGGCAGGAAGAACATGGCGCTGACTCCTTCTGTCAGTGGCAGCTGGGCAATCTGAAAGACCAGTTATAAATAAGAAAGGGCCCCATGCATTGGTACACCTTCTTTGAACTCATACTACAGCAAAAGATTTGTTGAAAGAAGTAAAGATTGAAAAGTTGTGTGTCCTGCCCCTCTTGCTCAGCTTCAAGTAGACCGATACAGGCTAGTAGGATCTGTGCACCATTTAAATTCTGCACTGGTTATCACACAGCCAATGTAAAAGCAGAAAGAATATTCTAACAATCAACAAACTGCCTTTCAAAATAGGGTTTGCAAAACTAGCCTGATGGGTGGAGCAAAGGTGTCTTGTGGAATGGCTTAAGAGCTAAGTGTAGCTGAGCCTGTTCCTCAGTAGGTTTAGATCTTGTGCAATATTTGCTGTCTGACCTTGCAGTTGAGCTCTGAGTCAAAACCGTATCGCAGTATGGCTTTGGGGTCTGACATCATGGACACTTTCACAGTTCTGTCCTCATCCAGATGGAAGTCGTTCAGGACAGTCCTCTTGGTGTCAAACTTGGTTTTCCAAGTCCCTGTTTTTTGAAAAGATAAAATGAGAGACTTTCTGGAATGTTAAACTAGTCTTATATGCAGGTGAGAAATCCTGTGCTTTATATATGATGTAGTATTTGTTCTTTAAAAGTTGAGGCACAAGTGAATGATAGAGATGGAAGTAGGCTGATTGAGCTTATTGATTTACTGCCATTCTTAGGCCCCTCCTTTTCATTTGAGAATTGACTAAATGGGAAATAAAAAATCAAGCCAGTGTATGGGTGGAGTAGCTGTTGGGAAGTTGATGTCTACTTATGTAATTACAAAACTATTTTAAAGGATAACAATTGTGTCAATGCACAGAAAGCACTCCTCTCTCCACCTTTGTTTTGCTCCTTGTCTCTAAGCAATAATTCTCTGGGACACAGGATTGTGTAGGTGCTGGCTTGGAGTGTGTTCTAGAACATCTCTCCAGTATTTCCCTACATGCCTTCCACAGCAACAGTATGGCTCAGCACAGCCTTTAACCTCTGCCTTCCCTAAATGTTAATACTCTATCTTTTGCCATTGAGTTTTGCAAGCTTAAGCTGTCTTCTCTGGTCTGTTACTGCAAACAGGTCAAGATTCAGCTTCTGAAGAGTAATAATTCCTCTGCTGATGACTAGTTCTGCTCAGGTAGCATGAATATTTTTCTTGCTTATTAAACACGTGTTCCATCACTTTCTTCTTATATTTAGTACATTGGCACTTTATTTTCACTGTAGGCAATAAGGTCATTCCTTCACTTATCTTCTAATGTGTGCTTAATAGACATCTGTAACAAAGTGCACAGCATCCTTACCCTTGAAGTATGCAGCCCCAGCAAGGAGAATACTGACATCTGTGGGCATATCTTTCATGAACCGCAGAATTCTCCCCCTTGTCTGCTGCCGTACCCAGTTGTTGATTTCCTGGAGGTCTAACTGGGTGTTGCCACTTAGTGCCCTCAAACGCATTTTGTAGGACTTCTCTAGTTGGCTGTGGAAAGTAGATTTCACCCTCAGTCCTGGGAAACAAAAAGATTGATGTTGCAGTTAGCACCCTTACCAAAACAATCTCAAGGCAGCAAATCGCAGTCTAAAGCACAGCAGCAGTTCTCTCAAAACAGATCAGTGGCTGTGTGTATGCTGAAACCTGCCATGAAAGGGAATGACTGATGGTGCATGGAAGAAACTGAACCAAATCCTAAAACCAACCATGCTGGAGTGTGGAATAACTCTACTAAACAGTAAAGAAGAGAGAGAAGAACAGAAGGCTTGGGTACAGCTATTCCCGCATCAGTCTTCTTTCTCCAGCTTTCTGTATGAGCACAGCTTACTCAACCTATTAGCTGTTAGTTTTTTTTCAGATGTTCACTGCATATCTCAACTATTTCTGCAAGGAACTAAACACAGAATAGTGGCTGAATGCTATCACCAAATAGGAAAATGTAATTTGTGATTCCTGATAGTTAGCAGCATCTGCCAGGAAACCTAGAGTGAAAGCAGAATCCTTATAGGTGAGTTTCTTCTAGGTCCTCTGCGTGCTAGCTGCTCTCTCACCAGTATCTTTTGGTGCATGTTTGGTCTTCTCATTTATTTGCATGGACACAAACTCTCTGAGGCTTTATCTGGAGCAGGAACACATTGCATGCACTGCCTATGTTGTGGCTCAACAACATCAGAGCCAAGCTGTTTGTGTAGTGTTACTTGTTCAGTGTTTTCAACCCGTTGCTAGTTATGTAGGTAAATCCTGATAGAGGGAAAGGATTTTTACTTTTCTCCACGATGATACGGGAGGCACTTTTCAGGCTCTTCTCTGGCCCAGTCACACTGGCCAGTAGGTCCTTGTAGGTGTTGTGGACCTCAGCTTTGTTAAGTAGGTCATAGAAGAGGGCACGAGAAATCACATCTTCTGTTCGTTCTCCAGCCCCTGCCAACAAGAAGGACAACATATAGAGGAAGGCTGTCAAGTCAAACAGCACGTGAGGAAAAGGGGCAGGAACTCACCAAGTGAAAGACCAGAAAGAGCAGTAGCCAGGCTGAATGGAGACAGCAGCACGTTGGCAGTGGCTGTCCGGCTGGATTGCTGGCGGTACAAGTCATAGCCAAAGTTGGAGACTGCAGCTGCCAGCTTGTTTACAGGGGTCTTATAGAATGGATCTTCCTCCTCAACCTCACCGACAGTTCCATCAGTGGTTGGAGAGTTCTAGCAAGTACAGGGAGCACTCTGTTTAGACTTGCAGTTTGCAAGAACAGGTACAGTTACTATAAGCATTTCAATGGCAAACAATCTGTGGATACTCTCTTGTAATCCACAGAAATATTAGCTTGATCTTACTGATACAGAGTGTGTAAGAATAGTGACTTCACTTTAAAGTGTCCCAATAAAGCTGAAGGTGGTGCTCAGGTTGGAATCCACTGCATCTGCCTCACTGTCATCTCCTGATGTAAGCACTGTGGCTTTAACTACGTAAAGCAGTAGTTAGTCTCATTATGTTGCTAAATGAAAACCTAGTTAATTTAGGAGGAGGGTGCTTAATCCTTCCTTAAGACTTTCTAAAATTAAATAATCTTCTTCAAGTATCTCTCCCTCATTCTCTGTTGCTGTCTTTTACTTACCTGCCCAGTTGGTGAGTTCTGGGATTTACTTGGGATGGTTAGAAGACCCAGGAGAAGGAGAATTGCTGGAATCTGCATGCCTGAACCTACAGAGTAAGAACATGACAGTTAGTTTGACTAACATTGAGAGGAATGCATCTCCACCACTACTGACTGCTGTATCTCATTGTGATGGGAGCTGTGATGACATGCTGCTGCTTTTGTCCTTCTTGATTGTGAAATGCACACCTGATCTTTGCTGGGTTTTCTTCTCCTCTAGCTTGAAGTATTCAGCCAGCCTTGGCTCTGAGGACTTCAAAACTGGACAAGCACTCATGCCTGGGTGTGTCTGAACACATAAGCAGATGTGTGTGTGGCCTAAACCACACTCATGCTGGCAGCTACTGAGTGCTAAGGTCCAGAAAAGCATTAAATCATAACTTCTCAGTTCTAGGCTAAAAATTAAATACATCAGAACATATAGAAGCTAGCAAATCTACGCTGTTAAATGAGGCAGAAGACAAAAACTGTCTACTGTTCTGGTAAAGAAGATCCTGCCTCAGGCAGTAGTTTATCGTGATTCTTGTGTGTGCAAGTACTTGGAAGGCTATAGAGCCTATATGAATCCTTTGCTTCTTATTTGCAGTTGGACAAAGGACCAAGAAGAGCTTTCTTAAAAGCCAGTGAAAAAAGGCAGTGTGTAAATACCTAATGCTGGGCCAAATCTGGAGACAGGTGAAAGTCAGAGCTTGGATTATTCAGTATTTTAGAGGTGAGAGACAAGTACCCAACTATCCAAAGCTGGTAAGCTTGTTCCTTCTGTAGAATCCACTTTTAATCACTCCACTGTTGGCATGTGTGACTGTTCCAGCCAGGTCTGGTGCAAAGGGCAGTGTGTAAGCCAGGGTTTCACTGTGGGTGCAGAACTACTGCAGAAGTGTCATGCCCCAGAGAACAGACGCCACTGCGGCTGGTCTGAAGCAATATTTATACAGATTCCCAGAAATTAAAGGAAGAGAGTTGTGTTTAACTAACCCCTGTGATCCAGGCATCCAGTGAAGCAGCAGAAAAGAACATGTGTTTCAGATTAACTGCAGCTATAAAGGAAATACGCCTACTGGTAGAAATACAACTTAAAGCCACGTGGCTACAACAGCCACAGGTCAGGACCTGGTCTGCTCAGGCAGAGGCTTTCCTTCAGTGAAAGGCAGTTCACTGCTGTTCTTTCCTGCCAAAACCCTTTTCTTCTGGAGGTAGTTCTGCCTTGGAGAAAACTGTATCACAGTGGAGGTCATAAGTTTTCACATATGTTTAGACAGTGTAACATAGAAGTAGTATTTTCTTCTCCCTGTGCTCTTGTATCTTGTGGCCTCTTGCTATACCAACTGTTGAGTAGGTGAGATTTTTCTGGTGCAGGAAATGCAACTCTATCAAGAGAATTTACTATGCTGGAAGAATCCAATATATTTGGTGGTATGACAGTGGGTGCAATGTTGGGATTGCTTCTATTGTTGCAGAGTTCTAAAATGAACAAGCATTATACTGAAGCACAGAGGCTCAGTGTGCATCTAAGAGCAGGTCACAGCCAGGGCTCTGTGAGGATGCCTGCAGCAAGCAATCCTCGCATGCTAAGCGGAAGAGGTTTGGCACAGTCCAGTCTGGAGATGAAGGTTTTCCATAGACCATAACCCCTTCTTCCAACTATACTGAGCTCCTGGGAGTACAGCAACGGAGATTGGTTCTGCAGATCTGTAGTGTTTTTGCCAGTACTGTCACCAGCTTCGTATTTCTCAAGCTTTGCCAAAAAACAATTTCCATTTTAGAAAGACAAAGCCTTTTTGCACTTGAATTAGTCTGAACATCTGGATTCTATTTGCATGTCCTTTAGCACACAGCCAGAAATGCAGAGAGAGAAGAATTTGGTGGAGCAAAGGTGGGATGGTTTCAGGAGTGCTATTAAAATCTGTAGCTGCCTTTAGAAAGAAGAGAAGGAGCAACAGCATGCAGCGTCTGATGTTACAGTAAGAAAGACAGAGAAAGAAAGTGTTGATAAATGAGCTGAGGAGGAACTTTGTGCCAGGGAGTTGTCTATCTGTGAAGGCCTGCAGGTGCTGAGTGAAATGTTTTGCTTTCCTTCTATAGTGATACAAGTCTCAAATCATTTATAAATCTGATTTTAGGGGTCCTACGAAGCAGCACTGCTGAGTTCAGACTGCTCTGTGATTGCTCCACCCCTCAGCACTGGCTACTTCTGAAGCATCGTGCAATCACTAGATCTAGAGGATTTGTCTCCCACCAAAATTGTTACCTTTGCAAAAAGGAAAAGCCTCTTCCCAGCTGCAACACAGGTACTAGCAGGGTAGAAAAGGGAGGAAAAAAGGAGTCCCACTCCCTGAGCACACCTCTGCTCCAGAAGCACAGTGGTGCCCAAGGATGCTGCTGGCTCCCAACCCTTGGTGATGCTGCTCACCTGATAAAAGTGCCGTTCTTTGACACCTGTGCCCCAAGACCCACCCAGAAGCCCCCAGCCTCATCCTTGTGCCCTCTGCTTCTTTGGCTGCTGGCTGCTGAGGTGGGCAGCACATGCAGCCTCTGCTGCCCCTTACCTTGGGCTCCTCTCGGCCGCCACTGCCGCAGGATCCCAGTGAGTGTGAGCCGGGGACAGTGCACGCTCAGCGCAGCCACATCTGCTTTTTGCTGCCTCCCCAGCCCAGCCTTCAGCAGGCTTCAGGTTACAGCTTCCCAGGGCGCTCTTAAAGTGCTCTGCTCCCATTTTCTTTTGTTGTGATCCTCTCGCTTAACTTTCCAAAGCAAATGTGCCTTCTGTGATAAGGGCTTTCTAACAGCTGAAATGTGGGACTGAGCCAAGTGTTCAGCCTGTTCTTCCCCGCAGTGTTTGAGCAAGCCTTTTATTCTCTCACTACTGCCCTGTGTCACATGAGGGAATTTCTTCTCTCTGTTAATACAGCATTGTTTAAAGATTTAATGGAGAGGCTTGTGAAGGGGAAGCAGGATTCATCTGCAGCTTAAAGCAGTTAAGGGGAAGATCTTCAGAAGTGATTCTACCCAGTGATAGTTGCTAGTGAAGAAGTTATTAATGTATGTGTCTTAAAGTTTTTGGCTAAAAAAGAAAAGAAGGCTTGGTTAAAAAGAAAAAAGAAAGTTAATGAAGAGAATGTTGTAGGAGCTTATGGAGTGATAAGTGATCAGGAGGAGGGAAGAGGCAGAGGTCGTTATTTTTCATAATAGAAGAGTCATGGGGAGCACTCATCAGTATCAGTATGTTTTTGGTGAGGTTTTTTTTTTCTTCTCATAAGTATTAAACTGTAAAAATCATTGCACCTCAATATTGAAGAAAGATAAGTGGATTTTTAAGAAGTAAATGATAAATTAACGGACGACGGGTTCATTGAAGTCTAACGGTGGTCAGATGTCACATCATGCTCAGCAGCTGGGAGACACAATGAGAGAACAGTTGTTTTTCTGTCCTGAATTCTACTGTCTTGGTTTTATTCCTCAGTCATTTGTTCCTAGCTGCTAGGAGAGATTGACATGTCACTGCCTGATCCAGTACAGCTGTTTGTCTGCTTGGAAATGCTGAAAGTAAATTGTGCAATAACATCAGTGTCCCTAGTCTAGGTTTTGTACTGGGACATGATTTGGGCTACCAGCCTTGCTGCTAGAAGGTAACAAGGAGTTACTCATGGATGCTTGCATTGGCCTTGTACAGTCCCCCAGATAAGAGGAAGGGATGGTTTTGGAGGAGCAGTAGCAGCTGTTTTTGCAAGTGGGAAAAGCAAATCAGGAAGCCTGCTTTGCAATTAGTCAGTGCTTCAAAGGTGACCCTTTTCGACACGAAGAGCAACAGCTCTGCTCTCAGCTGTTTCTTGGCTCGTTCAGTGAGAAGTCATCAGCAGAGATGTTTGTACTGGTTAGACTTTCATCGTCTGCTGGAAAATGAGAGCGTGAGCTGTGGAGATAACTTCTGATGTTGTTTGTCACTTCTTGATACAAACATGGTATTAAAATACATTTTATGGAAGAACATAGAGAATTTTTTTGTATCTTGTCTGTGTCTTCAAATGAAAACCCTTCTTTTTAAATAAAATCTTGGTGTAAAACCATTTAAATTGGAGTAGCGATTGCATAGAATGTTATAGCCTAAAGCAAGCTTTATTCCTTCAGGTAGAGCAAGCATCTCCCTGAAGTGGTGTTTGTTAATCCCCTGATTCTCATTACATAAGTATCAGTTCTGTTAAATCAATAGACATATTTTACTGTTGGTTGTTTTGGATTCAAGAGAGCAGACAATGTGCTGCCTGAACAGTGCTGTGGAAGCTCTGATATTGATATGAATTTGGTTTAGTAAGGAAAAAAAAAAGTGTATAATATTAAAGATATTCAGGCTTATTTAGTATTCTCTGCCAGTGGTGCAGGTGAGTTATGGAGCAGATGCTCTGTGCTAGTCGTGTTGTTTCAGAACAGAGCTCAGTCAACATGAAGGCTTAGGAAAGCGAAGTGGAAATTCCTGAGTGGAGACATTAATATTAGTTTGCATTTTACAAACGGCCTCTTCTGCAGAGTCAGTGGAGTCTTAAGGTTGGTGTAACCCATCATTTGTGCACCAAAGCACAGTCATGGGAGACTGCTCTACTGACAAATAAGATGAAATTAATAGTTTGACAAGAATAGCTTGGAGGAGGAGGAATGGCAGAAAGAAGGAAAATAGGAAATAAGAACCAAAGCTGTTCAGGAACCTGAGAATGAGGAGAAAAAAAAAACCTTACAGAAGAAAGGGAACTGGAGGGCAGAGTTGTGTAAAGGAAGGCTTGCACTTTTGCACAGGTTGCAGTGCAACAGAGTGGAATGACATTGCATTAGGAAAGCAAGACTTACCCAAGGCATGGGATGGTATTTCTGAATGTTAGAGATGAATCTGTATAAATAAATGAGCTGAAGTGTACCCTGTGGGTTAGAGCTATGCCTCTAGAGTAGAGCTAGATTCTTGTGGGTTTTCTTGTTGGAATTATGTGGCCCCATAATTATACCCTCATTTTGAAGGGGATGTGTCATTGCATTGGTCACAGGGGTGGGCATTATCTTTAGCCATTTTTCCTCTTTTAGACTACAAGAAATGTGTAATTGCAGCTTTGAGCCAGTACTTTTTATTCTCCAAAGTCTCCTGCGTCCCTGAAATTCATGGTTAGTGAGTCAGTCCTTCTCTTATTCCAGCAGATGGTGCAGACTATTCAGGGACGGAGGCTCCCAGAAGCATTCTGCTCCTTCCTTTGAGGGAAGACAGACTTCCCGAGTTAGGAAAACTGTGCCAGAAGGATGGCCCTTGTGCTCTGTAACTGTTATTTCACAAAAACAGAGCACCATACTTTCTATCCAGAGGCTGAGGGAGTTTAGAAGCAGAATCTGCTATGGACAACCACTGTGTTATATATAAATAACAGCAACATGGCAGGCAACGGTAAGTTGGTCTAACATTTTCAAGTGGTAATGGATAGCTCTGTGGGGTGGAGGGTTCCCAATAATTTTACATGGTAGGTTGCTGCAGCTGTGCACAGCTGCATTAGAACAAGAAGCCAGGGAGCTGTGCTTTAATTCAAGGAATTCTGCCCATTTCACAGAGCCAGCCTCTGAACAAGTGAGTCAAGCACACTCTGCAAGTGAGCTAGCAGTTACCAGACTCATCCTTTGACAGTCTTTACTGATTAGCAGTTATACCTCATAGCCTCCCTTATCCTCTGTGACAAAGCATAGCAAAGGGCAGCTCCTTTGCAGGGCCCCTCCTAACGTTGTATCTTTCATGCCCAGACTTTTTTCTCCTAATCTTTGCAATTATTCAAGTTGCTTGCCTGTTCCCTTTCCCTGTTGAGTCTTTCAATGCAACACCATAAGCAAATGCATTCTGCTTTACTCTTTATTATTCTGCCAACATAAAAATTACTAAAAAATGCTTTATAAAATAAGCCTTGAAAAATCTAGCATTACTCAAGAACCTAGAATTGTTTTCCAGGAACAGGACTGGAGATAAAGAGACTCAGTCCCTCGTTGCAGACCCTCCCACAGCAGATCCAATAGCCAAGGAGTGGGAAAAGGCAATGTCTAAGAAGAGCTTGTGCCTGAAGTGGCTCTGACTCATCCCAGAGAAGACAACTGGTTACCAGTCCACTTGATTTAGAGGTCATTTCCTAGGTGGGTACAAACAGACAGTTTATAGAGGAACACTGTGAGGAAGGCATGTTCACAGGAACCAAGGAAGGAAGAGCCATATTAATACTTCTGGCTGCTGTCCAGGCTGCCAGATGCTAATGATGATTTCAGGCTATGCTGGACTCTAATAAGAGCTTAATAAAGACTCTAATAAGAGTCTGGGGACACAGAAATCTCCCTTCCAGGACTGAGAGGCAGAGCAAGCTTTTCAGGGTCAGCAGAGGGGAGCTCCAGCCAAGAAAAGCTCATCAGGGCTGGAATGGGATATCCCAGGACTGGTCTGTAGGGATCTGGAAAGGAAAACAAGCAAGGAATTGCCTTCTGTGGCCTCAAAGGGAGATCACCAGTGGTAGGAAGCCTCTCTTAGCTGGTCCAGAGGGTCAAGTAGCAGTCCCAGAACACAGGTTTTGCTCCTCTCTTATTTGGGCATGGGGTACTCATTGTCATCTGTTGCATCAGGCAAGTTCTGTAGCTCTTTTATCTGGGGAGCAGCATTGGGGTTAGGGTTCTTTACACTGCCTATAAAAAGTGGGATGCCCATTTCTTCTTCAAATATAATGAAGATAAATGGCCGGTCTAAGCTGAAGGCCGACAGCGAGCGTGATATCATGACACTGGTAGCAGCAGAGGCTTCCACCCCGTCTTCTTTAAGCTCCATGGCAGACTGATGCTGTATACTGGACACAAAGAGAGGCTCATCTGAGATCTTCTGTAGATTTGGGCTTGTGAACAGCTCCTGGAGGCCTGCAGAGAAATGAGCCTATGTTAACCTCTCCCACCAGCTCTGATTTTTGTCAAAGCTGGCTGAAGAAAGCAGTTCCATCATCTGTTGTTACATGTTATTATTTATTTTTAAGCAGCTTGCAAAGCAGAGTGAATTCTATTTATTCTCATGCTGAGACTCAGAGCACAGTGTTTTATTTCAGTAAGCTCTCAGTTCTAAGTTTTGTGATCTGCAACCTCTCTTGACAATTTCTATGCTCTGGATCCATTTTCAATTAGAAAAAAAGAGATAAGTTGACACATGGCAGGAAGTTGGTCTTGGCTACGAATAGGAGAAGCTTGTAAAGATGGGAAGGAAGTGAACGCTGCCTTCCCTATAGTATCATCTCATTGAAGCAAAACATTTGGTGCCAGGCAAGCAAAGAGTAAGGAGGAGGAGAGGAATAAGGAATGTGAAGGGGTTTGATGTTATCTGGAGCAAGCTGTGAGGCACAGCTTTCGAAACAAGGATGGCAGTTTCTAGTGCTAGTGAACATATGCCACAGAGATTGATCAGATTCACTTATTCTACACATATCCTGTTAGAAGCCTTACCCATGTGACTGAGAACACTGTTGAGTTCCAGGTGATAATCCAATTTTATTTTGGGTATCTTCACTGTGGTTGGCATCTCTTTGGGGAAAAGCCTGCATAGTTGTCCATAAGGGAAGTTCTCCAGCACGTGAGAGGTATTCCAGATATACTGGTTTGGTACAATGACCACAAAACTCATGTTACCCTTAAAGGGAAACTTGGCCACCTGGAAAGAAAACCAGCCAGAAGAATTTATGGAAAAGGAAGGAAACACCAGAAAGTGATGCTTTAAATTCACTCTGATTTGTCTACAGAGCCAGCCTAGACATAGGACAGAAACAGCAGCTGGGAAAGTGTCCAATTGGGGGAGGTTTGGTGGAATAGCAGCATCAGATTTTAGTATTTGGCCACAGACTGGTAAGGAGGGGACATGTGGCAGGATGGAAGCTCACAGACACCATACCCATACTTTTAGCTCTGTCCTGAAGGATTCCAACAGTACGTTGTTTAGGGGAATTCCTTCCATTATTTCCTCATTCATTTTTAATTCAGAGCTTTAAAACTGCATTAGTTCTCACTTAGTGGGAATACCTGTTTCTGTTTTTTTTTCCAAAAACTGAAAGCAGAAATTCAACGTTCTTACTGGAAGCAAGGACAAAGGATACTTATTAAAATGTTATGTGTGCTATCCTTGTTAAAAAGTACTTAGTTTTTGGAAAGAATAGCTGGAGACTGTGAAATAAAATAGCAAGAGGAAATTCCAGTCAAAACCTGTATGTACCTGAATGTCCTGGGACTCCAGTGTAAACCAGCTCAAGGGGTACCGCTGGGCTTTCATCATCTCAACTGAAACCACAAAATTATCATCCAGGTGGAATGCATCTGGTGCAGTGAAGCTCGCATCAAACTTATTCCTCCAAAACCCTGTCAAAATTCAAGTTGAGAATCCAATGAAGTTTCCTTTTGGGTAGAAAAACAGGACCTACAAACTGCTTAGCTGATACTTTTCCTGTCATGAGTACTCAGACAAAGCAGCAAGTGGCCAGGCACGTAGGAATGCAGTGAAGGCAGTACCAAGGCTGCAAGAACCCTAGCAGCTGGAAGCCCTTATCTTCCAGAGGGATTATGGAATAACAAAAGGAACTAGGATTAATCCTGATGCCTCAGCATGGGAGGTGACTGAAGGCTATGGAGATAAGCAATGTATGTTTAAGTGCTTTGAAAAAATGAGGAGTGTTGCCTTTGTGCTGTGTACAGTGAAACAGTGCTCCGAAACCGAGCAAAAACATTTGCAGATTTACCATGGAAGTGTTTGGCCTTTGTTTTGATGCAAAGCCCTCAGGAAGTTAAAAAGAGGAAGATGCACCCAACCACCATCTGTAGTCAGGAATCCAAAGAAGCTGCCTCTGAGCTGTTTGGTTGGTGCACAGTGGGTTGCATGTGACCTGGTTTGGTTAAGTTGAGCAGTGATGTGCTGCTGTCTGGGATCCTGAACCCAGGATGCAAAAATACCACAGGTTCCACCTGCTGCATTCTGGCTCTGCAGGCATTTAGTAACATTTTTAGCACTTGTGAAACAGTTGGGGATCATTACTGTAAAGAAATCAAAGTAAGAGGAACAGCAGATGAACAAGAAAAGAACAAGCAGATTGACTATCAGGAAGCAATAAAAGGAGATGCCATGCAGCGACAGCGTTGGTGGAAAAAAATAGTAGATTTCTAACTATTCCTTGAGATGATCAGATTTGAGAAGTAAGACCTATGGAGCTCACCGTGGAAATGGATTGCATTGAGCAAGAGCATCACTGTGTCTCCAGGGAGCTGCTGTAGGAAGGTGGGTATTTGCCCATTAGTTGCCTCCTTTACCCACTTGTTTATGGCCGTGAGGTCATCCTCACTGCTCCCAGAAAGTGTCACAGGCTTTGCCCCATAGAATTTCTCCGACTCCTCCAGGAACTTCTCTTTGATCTCAGATCCTGGCAGAGAGGAAGAATTGCATACGAAGTCGCAAGACCTTCTAAAAATGCGCTCAGTAAGCCAGCCAGTGACATGCCACTGCCCAGGGAGAGCACCCAGGGAAACAGACATCTCCCCAGGATGGCACTGCACTCTTGTCACCGAGTTTTGTCCTGCATCCCTATGGCTGCCCTGTGCCAGCTCTCACCTTTCTGCAGGTACACACGTGATGCAAGGCTGAGCGTGGCTCCTGCCAGTCTCCTGCGAAGGCTGCTCAGCATGTGGTGGAGACAGGGCACAGATTCCAGGTGCATCGCCTCCAGCAGGTGCTTCTCTGTCTGATTTGCTGCTCCTAAAGCAAAGTTAAATCCCTGTTAGTTCATACCTATGTAGTGGAAAACAGGGACATTGAATGCCTCATTCTAGAAACATACTGTGTCGTGCAAGAGATTAGAGAAATCTGAAAGTAGGAGCTCTCTGAGGGCAGCTTCAATTGTAATAGTACCTAATTAAAGCTGCAAGAATGAGATTAAGTAGAAGGTGACGTATTTAATCTTTGCATTTTGCACATTGGTTCCCAGTGCCTCCATCCGGGAGGGAGGGGTACAGGGAAGGACAGAAACAAGTGCTGTTATAGTAAGTTACCTAGTGCCAGGTTAGATAGGGCAAGGGCAATGCTGAGGGGAGACAGGATCACGTTGTTCCCATTGGACTCTTGCTGGACCTCTCTCAGGAGATCAATGCTGAATCTCATCAGCCCACTTGCTAGCTTCTGGCTCTTCTTCCAAGTTATGTCACAGCTTTCCTCTTCATCCTCTCCTTCCTCTTCAGAAGATAGGGTTTTCCCAAAGGGTTCCTGTTCATGACAGCTGACAGCCCCAGCTGTGGCTTTATCTCCTGGCCTCTCATCATCCCCAGTTTCAGCTGATGTGGAGATGGAAGGTGATGTTCCATAGATCTCCCAGGTGTCTGCCAGCTTTGCATTTGGCAGGCTTGGGATGGCTCCCAGCAGAGCAGATTCTTCATCTCCACCACTTTTCAGATTCTGGGGAGAAATGAGAAGGTCATAGCACTGGGAAAGCAGGAGTCTTACCTCCTTAATAGGTTTGACTATATAACTAAACAGGTTGAGAAAATATTATCTTTGCTCTCACGGAGTATTTGCTTCAACTTGCCTTATAACCCTGATGTTAATAGCACTTCGATGACTTTGGAAAACCACATCTTTTATGCAAGGAAAATGGACTTGAGTGGGGGTTCCTCCTCTCCTGCCCTCAGGACCCCCTCCAGGCTGTGGAGGTAAGAGCCACCACCTGCTCAGCACTTGTCCTATGCTTCACTGTTTATAGATCCATCATCCTCAACCTTGATTTCACCTTCTCACATATTTTGGGACTGCAGATCTGCCTCATGCACTGGTCAGCACCCTGTGCTGCTGTCACAGCCTTGATCCGTTTTGGCTCAGATCCTCCTCCAGGCATCTGTCTCTTCTTGACTTGTCTGGTTTATTCCATCCCTTTTCTCTCCAGATTCTTCATTTTCCAGTTGTCTAAGCTTTAGCCTATAGCACTACTGCTACTGTCCTCACTTTTGCATGCCCTTAAACTCATGCTTTTTTTTCCCTCAGATCTTTCTGTTCCCACCAGTATCCGGATGACTTTCCCCTGCTGCAGGAGTGCTGCACTGTCAGAGCCAGGCACAATGGGTAGCATCAGCTATGAGTCTTCCTTCTTCTCACCCTCATATCTAGCTAATTTCTTCATCTTCCCTTATCAAAAGTGAAATAATTCACTTACCCATCCCTGTGCAGTCAGACACTGACATTTACTCCATGTGCTGCCCAGCTGCCCAGTCTGGAGCTTCCAACACAAAGGAGCAGAGCAGAGCAGTGGGTGAGGCAGGAAAAGAAGTCTGCACAAAATGGACTTTCTTACTGCAGTGACACTGCTCAATTGCACTGCTTGGGCTCATCCTGGAAAACCACTGCAAGTATCACAGTATAACAGCAAGTCCTTTGGATGAAACCAGTCATTGCTTACCTTCAGATCCACAGCTTTGTCTGAGGAGAGATGCTGTTGCTCAACAGCTTGTGCCAAAGGAAGCTGGAAAGAAAAACAAAGTCAGCTTTCAGATATTTCCTCTGAATTTCCAGAGCCGGCTGACTCTGCCTTCACTCTTAACACATTCCCCTGGGGCCAGGTCAGAAACTGGCACCAGCCTGGCTGCAGCAGTCCTGAGGTGCTATAGGAACGTAGGGGCAAGCTTTAGGATGCAGAAATGGAGACTGTGGGGTCCACTGAAGGGACGTGGAAACGATCAGGAGCTGGGGGAGGCTGCAAGCACTGGATTTGTTTAGAAAGAGACTGGGTCAGAAGGGTACAAAATAATGTATTCTGTAGACAGTTTTGCAATTGCAGATCTGAAAGGGTTCCAGGTTTAAAACAGAGAGAGAGAGAGAGAGGAAAAAAAAAAAAAAGCTGTTATTAAAACAATGTCCTGCTAAACTCTGAATGTCACGGTCACTACAAACAATTGAAGCCAAGTTTCCAAAGATTTTCTGCAGAAATCCACTTGGGTAATGGAGATATCTACAGTAATTATAGACGGGAAAACCTGAGAAACCTTTCCCTGCTGGGGTGCAAGCTTACTCCACAGCAGAGGAGCAATCTCCTCCACCACTCAGCAGAAGCACTGGGCAGTGTTTGCCCCGCAGCTGGAGCACAACTTCTTTGCCCTTGCCCTATGCTGGCTTGGAGAGAACCCCAGGATGGCTGGAGGGGAACGACTTACCCTTGGATGACTGTGCAGAGCAGATAGGGAGAGCAGCAACAGACCCCAGAGCAACACCATATTTCTGGAACAGAAGGACCAGCCGAGAGAGGAGTTATTTCCAGCTGCCTGGCAGCAGCAAGCTGAGCCTAGTCAGGTCTACAGGGAGAAAATTATCAACCTGGCCAAACAGGTTGGCGCAGGAGCTTGCAGAAAGCAATAAGGAGATGAACAATGCTGCACAGAAACAACACAGGACTCCTGGGTCCAACGCCAAGGCAGTGAAATCAGAGAGGAACAGGGACCTGCACCAGAGCAGAGCTGTAACCACAGCCGGACTCTTTACGTGACCCTCTTCTGCTGGGAACCTGTGCTTCTGACCCCAACACCCTCATTCATCTGGATTGCGAATGGTATTTCCCTAATCAGTCCTACACACATTGTGCATGTGGGAGCAGACAAGAGCCTCTGCTCCTTCCCTATGCAAACCATTGAGGTGTGGGCACAGCATCGTGTTGGCTGTGCCCAGCTCTTGGGAGAAGAGCTGCTGACCTGCCTAAGCAAGTGCTGTCTGGAAGGGGCTTTGCAGGGAGAAAGCAAGATACCAGAGGGATTTACCAGCAATTAGTCCTGGAATAGAAAGTCCTCCCCTTCCCAGCACTTGCCTTCCCCCTTTGCTGGCAAACCCAGCCTCTCCCACCCCCGTGCTCCAGTTCCAGTATGGGACAGTGGGAGCTTCCAGGGCAATCAATGAAACCCCACCCACTCCCTGGCCACAGCTTCGACCAACTACTTTTCCTGCTCAAACAGAAATAACCCATCTTCTCCTTAACATAAACACTACATGCCAAAACCCAGGCGTCGGCATGGCTGCTATCCACTTAACTCCTGGGGCTGCTTTTCACTCCCAGAGCAATCCCAGCTTCAACCCACAACTCACTGGGTTGTGACTGCTTGCCCAGCAGAGGCAGCAAAACTTGAGACCTTTTCATTCCCCCAAAATCCTGCTGCCATAACTCCCTCTAAACACCCCTATCCAACCCCCATGGTGCCAAACCTTTAACTCTCCGCCAGGTTCACTCTCTCCCTGATAAAACCACTAATGCTCATTGGAATAGCCCCCATTTACCATCAAATTCTCCTTCGTTTCTCCTTACCTTAGGCTGTTGGTGTCCACGTTGGAGCTGGCACCTTTGTTAGCTGGACAGACAGCTCTGTGTGGGGCACAGCCTCCTGCCCAGCCCAGCCCTCCTACCCGCCGACCTTCAGCACCACCTCCTATTTCAGAATTTGGCAGACAAATATTGACTTACGGCATCCTGTTAAACATTTGTTTGGGGCAGGAGAGGGAATTTGTGGTGTATTTGGGGATGGGGAGACACTTTATGATGCTGTCATTGCAAGGCAACGTTAACCTTGAGTTTACCAGCACTGAATCATATTTGTGCTGATGGGAAATGCCAGCTGTTCCTAGCAGCAGCTCTGCTTTCCACTACTCCCAGTGCTGGGAATGCACCCTTTTATTCATAACTCCAGTGCAAATCTAGGGCTTGGTATTTACTGCCACAGGGCTCTCTGGTTTTGGAATTTTCATTGCAGAAAGCCTCGGATGCTTCCTTCCTCTGGCCCAGATGCTGCAGCAAACACGAGGCTCTGTGTTCAGCAGATGGTGGGTGCCCAAGGTCCCACAGCAGCACACCCAGGCAGCGTGCATGGGCATCTGAGAGCAGCTGGTGCCTCCCCAGGGCACAGCAAGAACCAGGGCCCCACAGCACTGCTCCAGTACAGAGGAAAAGGCCAAGGGCCAGGCAGAACTCCAGCAGGGCTGTCCAGGCGTATGTGGTTTTGTGCTGTATGCTGAAAGAACAGTAATCCCTTCCCAGCATGGGATATGGCTCTGGCCATGTCCTCGGTGGGATGGGAGATCCTAAGGAGGATTTTAGCACTTGCAGTGATTCTTTTCGTGCCACAGGCTCATGGTTTCCAAACACCCCAAGCAGTGGGAAGGAATGGAAAGTACAGATCTGTGTTCTGTTACCAGAAACTACACCAGGATGTAACACTGCAACATGGGGAGCTACTTCCCTTTGGAAAGCAGATGGTTTGTGGCAGAAAATCCTACCTTACATCCATGGCACCTTCACAGCATCCCTCCTCCAGGAACACAAGCGATGCCTGAATGCAGAGCTTTAGCCTTGGGTGCCAGAGCACAGCTACAGCCACTGTGCAGCATTGCTCCTGGGCTCCCCCAGCCCTGCACACAGCATCCCCACACACACTTCTCTGCATCTCTTTCAAAGAGTTTATTAGAAGTCAATATTTACATCTATTGCAAATGGTTAATAGGCAACACGGGACTAGGAGCTCCCCTTGGATGGGAAAGGATAGCCAGGGCCAACTGCTCACCACCACACCCCTCCCTGAAAGCACAGGGCAGCTTCCCAGCTCCCTGGCAGCTGGATGGATGCCCCCCTTTCCCCTCTCAGGACAAATCACAGCAAACTCCTCCTCTGCTCAAGATAAGAGCTTCCCGCTCCCCTGATAACAAGAGGGATGGATGGGAAAAGGGCTGCAAGAGAAGTGAGGCAACTGCTCCTGCTGCTGGGTCAAAGAGCACTCTCCTCACCTTTGGGTCACACAGGAGTGGGAGCAGACAATGCTGTCCCTAAGGGAAGGTCAGAGGAATGCCATTCTAGATTGTGATCTCAGGTTCTCAACCTGCGGTGGGAAGGGGTAAAAATTTGAGCACCTTTTTGCTGTTCTGTCTTCCCCAGAAGCCTGACCAGCACAAAGGAGAGCAGAGAGGATGAGAAAGGGAATTTTTTGAGGAACGTTGCCAATGCATAGCACACAGAGCATTCCTGAACCCGCTAATAATAACGAGATGCAGTGCAGCTAGGGTAGGAACCAGCAACAATCCATCCCTACCTTACAGTTCCAGAAGCAAAAATCCTGATAGAAGCATCCAGTTCTGGCCTTCAAGAACACCCTTCTGCAGTTCATTCCTAAATCACAGGATGAAGCAGTATAGCAGACAGGGGGGCTGTGCCTTGGCTGGCTTGCATTCCTGCCTTTGCTCTGGAGCCAGTAAGGCAACAAAAGAGCTCTAGTTAACTTCTCCTCCTCCTATGCAGGCTCTCACTCAGACAGCAGAACCTAAAGTTAACAGAGTGGATCCTCTGGGCTTTGATCCCACAGATGGCAGAGGAAATATGCCCAGCAGCACGCAGCTCCAAAGGAGGCAGTGCCCACTAATGCTATCCTTGTAGGACTACTCAGTGGTTCAGGAGCAGAGTGTGAAGGGTAAGTGCAGATGGCAGTAGCTGTACGTTTCTATTTGTTTAAGGGTAACCTCTTACCCCTTAATGGAAGGGAGGGGGATGCCCATGGTCCACGTTTCTCTGAAGGGCAGCTCTCAGTCCCCTGGGGATCAGGCACACACGGTACGGAAAGCTCCAGACCTCTCTGCAGGGGTGACAGTGACCTACAATGCCCAGTATTTCTCCCAGCAGCAGTGGAGGTTTCTCAGTTATGGCTTTCTTTTTCTTTTTTTTTCTTTAAGATAGAGAAAGAGGTTAGGGATGCTTAACCAAGTGCTCACTAACAAGTACACCTCCCTCCTGCATCCTCCGTTCAGAAACACCTAACTGGCCTCTTCTATCAGCAACACTGCTGGCTTTCAGCTCTACTACCAGAGCTGTGGGACAGCCACAAGCTTCTGGGCTGGGGTTGCTATGCCAGGAGGCGTATCACACCATTGTCTGAGCCCAGCAGGAGATGGCATTTCATGGGCAGCACTGCCAGGCTGGTCAGAGTACCCCGGAAATTCTCTGAGCTCAGCTTGGTTGTGCTGACAGGCAGAGCTGAGGATTCCAGCATGGAGTAGACACCAATCTTGTTGGCCACGGTGCCAGTCACCACTTCATTGCCATAGAGGTCAAATGCATGGATGGGTTCGGATGCAGATTTGTAGTGGTGCAGTGGTTTCTGCTCCAATTCCTTCCAGACAGTCATGGAATGATCCGAAGAAGAGCTGATTAGCACGTTGCCCTCTGCAGCCTGTGGGAGAAGGAGAGACACTTAATCAACATTCTTGCAGTAAAAACCCCTAAGCTCACCCTGGAAATGAGATGAGCAGGTAGCTGCCAATAGTCCAGCAGTCCCCAGTGCAATCCCCTAGGACAGCCCCAGCCATTTCCAAGCAGCTGGTATACTAAACAGTGTTAACAAGGCATGCAGGTGGACACCACAAACTACAGGACTCCGGTTGCTGTTAGTCTCCTCCAGCACTATTCCAAGTGTTCAGGAGATGGGCTGCAGCTTTTCTCAACAAGCTGTTGATACTCTGATTCATCACTTGTTACTACCACAGCAGGTAGAGATTATTGCATGGCATCCCTTTCCATTAAGCCACCTGCCATTTTTCTTCTCGTGGACAAAGAACCGGGGAGCTAAGCAGAAAACACTGCTGAAGACAGAAGCTTGGCATGCTTATTAGCAGAGCTAGTGAGAGAGTAAACAACCCACCCCGGTGAACTTTGTTTAAACTGCATTGGGTCGAGGACACGAGCCCAAACCACTGCTCCCCGAGTGGGTAAATATGGACAAGAGTTATTCATTAGAGTGATGCTCCCCACAGGGAGCTGACAGCCCCAAGGAGAAGGCCTCCACCAGGACACATAGCTGCTCCCTGCCCATGCTGCAGACCTGCACATGCTTGGGAGGGCTATCTCTGTCCAACACAGGTTGCACCGAGAGCATCTGCTCACAGCATGGGCCACAGGGCATGAGAGCCTGAGCAGACACTTAGAGACACAGCAAAGAATGGAGGAAAGCCCTGAGCTCCACAGGATGGACCGATAAGCTCTGCCAAGCAGCATCAGCAAGGCCCAGGAAGCAGCCCCTCACCCCAATCCCTGCTGAACCACTCACCTTGATCTGCAGGATGTCTCCCTCGTGGGCAGGCCACCCCCGCATGATGAGTCCTGTCCTGGTGTCCAGCAGCACAATGAAACCAGAAGAGAAACCAGCCATAACGCTGCGCCCGTTGGGGCTGACAGCCAAGCAGCGGATCAGCCCAGCATTCACCCCGCTGGCCAAGCGAAACTCATGCTGCAAGACAGAGAGAATCCAGCTACCAATGGGCTGAAATCTTGGGGATCCAGCACTTATAAGATAAAAGACTCTGCGGCACAGCTGGCTTTCGTGGAGTCATCACATCTGGCTTTGGACCAGCCACAATTGCATTATTAAGCACATGGATGCCATGGGGGAGCCTGAAGGAACGTGGCTTGCAAAGCAACAGCCTCCATACCTGTAATCCTGGCTTCCTGTGGTCAATGAAACGCAGCACAGAGTCTGCACTGGCCACAGAAATGCTGTGATAAGGAGGTGGCATGGTGGTCACAGCTGTGATGGGGGCTTTGCTGTCTAACTCATCAAAAGTCCGGATAAGTTTGCCTGTGAATACACGAGAAAGATGAAAGAGCTGTAAATGTATGGAGAAGCTGTATGGCAGATCTCCAGTCCCTACGGTGGGGAGCCATCAGAATTAAGGCCCCCCTGTCTACAAAGACTGGACCAGTTCATTCCAGGCTGCCTTTTCCCTTCTTACCTGTGAACTGGTCCCAGATGTGCACAGTCCCATCACAGCTCACTACGTGCTGCGATGCCTCCAGCTGGCTCACGTAGAAAACAGACTTCTTGTGTTCAGAATAGGTGAACCGTGGTGGCACCTCGCTGGTACCATCCCCATAGTTGTACAAGGGCCAAAGGCGGACAGTTTTGTCCTTGCTGCCACTAAGAAAGAAGTCCTCACTGCTGAGTGGTGCCACGCACTTGATGGCCCCCGAATGCCCTGAGAAACTCTGCAGCTTGATCTGATGGAAGTGGAAGCGGGGGTCATGCTGGCTCACTCCAATCTCATATTGCCAATACGCCAGCCAGTTCCCACACAGCATGTGGGTGCTGCGAGGAAGGTCATGCTTCAGGGTGCTTTCTTCACTGGATGAGCTGGGAATGAAGCCATCAGTGCCAGCACTGAGGCGAAGTAAGCCCAGACCCTCACGCTGCGTGTCCACAGGAACTTGGATGCGGTTCCCTACCAACACGCTCCCAAAAGTACCAGAGTGACTGTCCTCCTGGGGGCTGGAGAACCCTTCTGTCCCTCGCATATCTTGATCTGAGCCTGCCATGCTCGGTGCTTGCTCTAGGCCAACCACCTGCAGGTTCTTTGGGTTCACATTCTCCAGGTAGAGACTGGCCAGCTTCTCAACCAGCGAGTGGTTGGGCACAACAGTCCGGATAACATCACCTGAAAAAGAGATAAAATAGCTCCCAGGGAAGGAATCTCCTCACCATCATCTCCTACTACCCACAAGAGAACAATGGTCAACACATGGCCATTGAACACAACTTTCCACCAAGCCAGCTACACGCTGTTCCCAGCCAAAGCAGCCTGAAGTCCCAGTGGGCTTCCCAGCTCCACAAGCAGACCAAACCACCATGCAGAAGCCGTGGGCTTCCCCAGCCAACTTACACCCTTTGACTTCCTAAGTTCAGGTCAAGCATGAGCGCACAGAACAAGAAGCTCTAAGAAAGAAGGTAGCCAAGCCATACCTAGCAAGCAAGAGAAGGGGATGTAGGTGATGTAGGCCATCTCAGGGTTAAACACCTTCTGTAACTCCATCAGCACTGCCGGATCCAGAGCCAGGAGCTTCCCTTCCACGAGGGGCACCTCCATCACCGGCACCTCGCAGCCACTCAGCGACTCCACTGTCAATCCCTGGTCAGGAGAAAACAGGAATATTCCCAAGATCAGATGCTCAAACCACATCATTATACAAGCAGCCCGGGCTGGGCATTGCTGACACCAGTGCTGGTATATGCAGCAGGTATGCCCACCACATTCCTGCGGCCATGTGCTGGGATGTGGCAGGAGCACCCTGTGCATATCACTGACCTGGTCCTGCAGCTCCTGCAGCAGTGAGAACGCTCCAAAGAAGTTTCTCACCGTGTCACTCAAATGCTGCTGCACCATCTCCTGCCCGATCCGCAGGCAGATCAAGGCAATTAGGCTGATTGTCTTAACGCACAGGACAACACGGGCCTGGGCACCACTGGGGAAACTGAAGAAGACATCCATTACCAGCTTGCCCTACACATATCCCTTTTTCCCTCCTCTGCCTCCTGCTTTGTGTTTTCTGGCATTACCAGAAGGTCTTGAGCAGCACAGGCTCTACAAATGAACCATATCCCAGAGCAAGGACATGCTCATCTGGGTGCAACCAAACAGATGTCAACTTGTGCAAACTGGGGCTGAAGGCACAGCCAGCTGCAGCACTCACCCGACAGACAGGGAGGTGAGGAAGCCCAGGACTGGGAGCAGCACCTCCTGGCTGATCTTGGGGAGAATATCCATGAGTGTGGTGTCTGACAGACACACCACGATCTTCTGTGTCAGTGTCACAGCAGCCAGCAGCCCTGCCTCCTTACGGCTGTTCAGCCGGCCGCCACTGGACCCACCACCAGGTGCAACCTGCAAAACAAGTTCCAGGATCATCTGAGCTCGACCTCAAAATCCAGCATGGCCATGGTAATGGGGAGAGGAACTCAAGCAGCAACTCAAGGCTTGCACTCAAAGGATGAGCCTGAACCGATGGATGGATGTCAGGACAAAAGAGGAGCCTGGAGAGAGCTGAATTACAAATTACATGCACTCTTTGGAGGGAGCCTCCCTCCAGGCTGCTCCTGCAGTTGGAAAATTCATAGAGATGGACAATCCTGGACCAGCCCAGAGCACCAGCCAGCCACACCACCAGCCTGGATAACACAAGAACAGAGCAAACCTATGGCATATGAGTGCCTTGCTGCAAGAATGAATGTCTTCATCGCATGCTACAGTAACCCTGATGCACAGATTGCTGAGGAACAGTCCTTGCATGAAATATCCAAGGCAAAGTCTGGGCAAACGTACCAACTTCCGGAAATCCAGCTGCTAAGAACTTTGTGAGACAGGAGCATTTTTTTTTTGATTGAGAACCACCACTGATTACAGCCCAACAGTTCACAATATCAGCAGCAAGACCAGAAGATTTGCCTACGTTGAACTCATCCCTAACTCCACAACAAACCAAACACCCAAGAAAAGAGTGCCAATAACAAAAGCCACAAACAACTCCCCATTTCCTCTCTATTTCTTGTACACCTGCCATCTTCCAGCTCATCACAGAGGCTCTTCCCCTCACTAAATATCCACTCTGCCAAATGCTCCAAGAAGGACTGACTTTATCCTATCTGCGATCCTCCAGCTTCATCGCTTTCATATCAGGTTGCCAAATCTATTCACAAGAGCATTGACCCCCCACCACCCCCAAGCAACAACTTGAATAAAGCAAAGCACAACAGCTGCAGCTACGACTGCAACTGGGTGGAGAGTGATTCTGCTGAA